GGGGGGGGGGGGGGGTCCAAAAATAAAATCATTGGAAAAGCGACGAAGGGTGTCTGACCGGATTTGAACGGCTGACCTATTTTCCTTGAGCTTGCCGGCATTTTGTCCCAGCCTCACAGTTTTCTCTGCGAACCTCCTCCTCCTCCTCCGCCTTCTCCTTCCACTCCACGGGAGTGTGGAAAGCCTCTTGATAAGTGCTGGGGCGCAACCAAGTGAAACGCGTCGAGGATTGTGCGCGTTTGAGCAGCAGATATGTCCGCGTGGTTATGAAAGCTTTGTTTGAATGAACGTGGACGAGTGGCGATTGGCCTCGCTACCTTCAATTTCTTCTTCTTCTTTTTTTTTTCTGTTTCTCCTGTCTTCTACGCTTTTTGACATAATCGTCTTTTTTTTTTCTTTTTTTTAATTAACACCGCTCTGATCTATTCGTGGGGAGCCGCACGTGCTGGCAACTGGGCTCATAATCTCACTTCCGCTGAAAGAGCTTTGCAACACTTCATGAATAATGTGAGGTCACTTTTTTATTTTATTTTTATTTTTAAAATTTTTAAAGAGATATTATCCCTTCTTCACTCACGCGATATTATCGCAGGATAAAAAAAAAAAGGAAGAAAGATATTTATCGCAGGATTTTATCGCAGGATTTTATCGCAAGATTTTATCGCAGGATAAAAAAAAGGAAGAAAGATAAGGGTCAGCGGTAGTGACAGGGTTTGAACTCGTGGCCTGCTTTGTTCAATTTGCCGTCATGTGCCATTCAGCCACAAGGTAGGTGCAGGCCGTTTTTTTTTTTGGCAAAACGCACGTACAACTACTGGTTTATTTATTTATTTATTTTTTTAACCAAACTTGAAACCTCCATTAAAGCTCTGGAAACTGGCCCAGCGTCCCTCACATGAATGTTTAATTCATTCTTGCTGAATCGATCGTAACCCAAAAGAAAAGAAGAAGGGTGCAAATACCCCCCCCCCCCYCCCCCCAAAAAAAAAAAAGAAAAAAAAGAACGGTGCAACTTTTTTTTTCTTTGCCCGCTGAACGGCAGGCATGTTAAACCACCAGTACTTGGCCCAGCTATCAAGTCCGAGCCTCGGCCGACCGGTAGGCGGATCCGTGCCGAGGCTCGGACTACCGGGCGTTCACTTCCGGGAGCTGCAGTTGAAAGAAATGCAAAGAAAGGAGGAAAAAGAAAAGAAAAAGAAAAGAAAAAGAAAATACGAGAACATTAAAAAAGAAAGAAAAGGCGCCAAATTCGCCGCCCCTTTCTCTCTCTCTCTCTCTCTCTCGTACGCGCACGGGCGTTTCCATTCTCCCAATAGAAAACGGGAATGCATCTACCCATCTACCCGGGTAGATGCATTCCGGTTTTCGCAATAGAGAACGGAAATGCCCGCCCGCGCCTGCTACACGCACACACACACACACACACACAAGAGAGAGAGAGAGAGAGAGAGAGAGAGAGAGAGAGAGAGAGAGAGAGAGAGAGAGAGAGGCGGCGAATTTGCCGCTGCTCTCGGTGCAGGTCGCTGCCCCCCTCTCTCTCTCTCTCTCTTGTTTTCGAAGTAGAAAACGGGAACGAAACTTCCCGCTTTCGCGGGAAGAT